GTGGGATGGGAGGGGTGTGTCTGGAGGAGGTGGGATGGGAGGGGTGTGTCTGTGGAGGTGTGGGATGGGAGGGGTGTGGCTGTGGAGGAGGTGGGATGGGAGGGGCCGGCTTTGCAGCCACCTGACCTGCCCGGCCCCCACAGGCCTTCTATGAGACAGCCAGCCTCATGAGCCAGGTCTCCCACGTGCACCTGGCCTTCGTGCACGGCGTCTGTGTGCGCGGCCCTGAAAGTGAGTGGGTCCCGCCATACCCATCCCCCTTTGGCAGCCCACCCCTGTCTTATACCCACTCCCTGATCTGTACCCCAACCCTCGACCTACACCCCCAACCTATCCCTATTTCTCGACTCTCACCTGTACTCTGATCCTGGGCTATACCTTGACCTTCAACCTAGACCCCAACTCCTGACGATATTCCAGCCTATAACTTACATACCAACACCTCGACCCTCACCTGCGCTCTGTCTCAGCCCCCACCCTGATTCCCAACTACATCCCCATTTCCATCTACCTCCCAAACAACCTCTACAATCCAGCACCCATCTGCCCCTGGCCCCATCAGCACTATGGCCTCAGGCAGACTCCAGCACTGATGTGTCCTGACCTCCTAGACCTCAGGCCCTGCACATCCAACCCTGCCTAACCCCACCTCTTCCTTTCCTCTGCAGGTAGCTCAAAACTCCTTGTATAGGCTACGTGTGGTGGCTCACACCTATCCCAGCACTTTAGGAGGCTGAGGTGGGAGGATCGCTTAAACCCAGGGGTTCAAGACCAGCCTGGGTAACATGGCCAGACCCTATCTTTACAAAAAATTTAAAAATTGGTCGGGTGCAGTGGCTCATGCCTGTAATCCCAGCACTCTGGGAGGCCGAGGTGGGCGGATCATGAGGTCAGGAGATCGAGACCATCCTGGCTAACACGGTGAAACCCTGTCTCTACTAAAAATACAAAAAATTAGCCAGGCATGGTGGCGGGCACCTGTAGTCCCAGCTACTCAGGAGGCTGAGCCAGGAGAATGGGGGGAACCTAGGAGGCGGAGCTTGCAGTGAGATGAGATCGCGCCACTGCACTCCAGCCTGGGCCACAGAGCGAGACTCTGTCTCAAAAAAAAAAAAAAAAAAAAATTTAAAAAATTAGGACCAGGCATGGTGACATGTACCTGTAGTCCTAGCTACTTGGGAGGCTGAAATGGGAGGATCACTTGAGCCCAGGAGTTCAAGGCTGCAGTGAGCCATGATTGTACCACTACACACCAGCCTGGGCGACAGGGTGAGACTCTGTCTCAAAAAAAATAATAAATAAATAAAAAGTAAAGCCCTTGTACAGAGCAACCCTAGACCCGCCCATCCCTCAACCCCCTGTGTGTGTGTGCATCTTCCCCACTTTCCCCTGGACCCTGGCTGACGCCCTGACCCACAGCCCCCTGACTACTCTGGTACCCCAACATCACTTAAACCCCAACCTCAAGCCCCCAGCGTCTGCTTATCCATGCCGATCCCTAGTTGCTTACTTTGTAGGCTCACCTTTATCTCCTTTTTTGTGAGACAGGGTCTCCCTCTGTTGCCCAGGCTGCAATGCAGTGGTGCCATCATGGCTCACTGAAGCTTCAACTTCCTGGACTCAAGCAATCCTCCTGCCTCAGATTCTTGAGCACCTGGGATCACAGGCGTGTGCCGTGGAGGAGGTGGGACACCTGGCTGATTTTTAAAAATTTTTTGTAGAGATGGGGGTCTCACTATATTGCCTAGGCTAGTCTCAAACTCCTGGGCTCAAGGGATCTTCCCGTCTCAGCTTCCCAAGTTTTTTTTGTTATGTTTTGTTTTGTGTTTTTGAGACGGAATCTCACTCTGTCACCCAGGCTGGAGTGCAGTGGCACGATTTCGGCTCACTGCAAGCTCCACCTCCCAGATTCATACCATTCTCCTGCCTCAGCCTCCTGAGTAGCTGGAACTATAGGCGCCCACCACCACGCCCAGCTAATTTTTTTTGTATTTTTAGTAGAGACAGGGTTTCACCGTAATTTTCTGTATCTTTAGTAGAGATGGGGTTTCGACATATTGGCCAGGCTGGTCTCGAACTCCTGAGATCTGCCCGCTTCGGCCTCCCAAAATGCCGGGATTACAGGCGTGAGCCACCATGTCGGCTGTGTTTTTTTTTTTTTTTTTAGTAGCGATGGGGTTTCATGATGTTGAGCAGGCTGCCCTCAAACTCCTGACCTCAGGTGATCCACCCGCCTCAGCCTCTCAAAGTGCTGGGATTACAGGCGTGATCCACTATGTCCGGCCCACCTTTCTCTCTTGAACTTCAACTTCCTCCATGCCCCACACCACCTGGACCCCAATGCCCTCATCCACCACTGCCTTTGCTGTATTCCGCATTTCTTCTCTCCCCAAACTCACTTTCAACCCTGACCAAACTCCACCCACACTTCTGCCCTGACACCTCCCCAGCCACATGCCAAGTCCCTCCCTGGCCTCTCCTCCAATTCCCTGCCATCCAGAGGGCAGAAGCAGGCAGGTCACCCCAGAGCAGCTGTGTCTTTGCAGATATCATGGTGACAGAGTACGTGGAGCACGGACCCCTGGACGTGTGGCTGCGGAGGGAGCGGGGCCATGTGCCCATGGCTTGGAAGATGGTGGTGGCCCAGCAGCTAGCCAGCGCCCTCAGCTACCTGGTGTGTGGCCTGTGTCAGTCAGGGAGGGCCAGGAGCCCAGGAGCCCAGGAGATCGAGACCCGCCTGGGCAACAGGGCGAGACCCCGTCTTTTTTTTTTTTTTTTAGATGGAGTTTCACCCTGTCGCCCAGGCTAGAGTTCAATGGCATGATCTCGGCTTACTGCAACCTTTGCCTCCCGAGTTCAAATGATTCTCCCACCTCAGCCTCAGGAGTAGCTGGGATTACAGGTGCCCCTCACCATGCCCAGCTAATTTTTATATTTTTAGTAGAGATGGGGTTTCACCATGTTGGTCAGGCTGGTCTCGAACTTCTGACCTCGTGATCCACCCGCCTCAGCCTCCCAAAGTGCTGGGATTCTAGGCGTGAGCCACCACGTCCAGCTGGCCCCGTCTTTAAAAAATAAACAAATAGCCAGGCGTGGTGGCTTACACCTGTAATCCCAGCAGTTTGGGAGGCCAAGGCAGGTGGATCACCTGGGGTCAGGAGTTTGAGACCAGCCTGGCCAATATGGTGAAACCTTGCCTCTGCTAAAAATACAAAAAAAAATTAGCCAATGTGAGGCCGGGTGCGGTGGCTCATGCCTGTAATCCCAGCACTTTGGGAGGCCGAGGCAGGCAAATCACGAGGTCAGGAGTTCAAGACCAGCCTGACCAATATGGTGAAACCCCGTCTCTACTAAAAATACAAAAATTAGCCAGGCGTGGTGGTACACGCCTATAATCCCAGCTACTTGGGAGGCCGAGGAAGTAGAATCGCTTGAACCTGGGAGGCAGAGGTTGCAGTGAGCCGAGATCGTGCCACTGCACTTCAGCCTGGGTGACAGAGTGAGACTCTGTCTCAAAAAAAAAAAAAAAAAAAAAATTAGCCAATGTGGTAACTTGCACCTGTAGGCCCAGGGACTCAGGAAGCTGAGGTGGGAGGATCACCTGGGCCCAGGAATTTGAGGCCATAGTAAGCTATGATCACGCCACTGTACCCCAGCCTGGACAGCAGCATAGCTAGACCCCATCTCTACCAAAAATTTAAGAATGAGCCAGCCGTCGTGGTGTGCACCTGTGATTCTAGCTACTTGGAATACTTGAGCTCTGGAGTTTGAGGCTGCAGTGAGCTATGTTCGTGCCACTAGACTCCAGCCTGAGAGACAGAATGAGCCCCTGTCGCAAAAAAACAAAAGAAAAAAAATAACCCCCTCAAAAAACAACAAGAAACCCAGTGATGATCACAGTTGTCCTTTTCACATTGACTGTCCCTCTGGGGTCCAGGTTTGGGGTTGGCATCTGTGCCCCTCCTGAGTGGCCACACCCCCTCTCCTGCCCACCTCAGGAGAACAAGAACCTGGTACATGGTAATGTGTGTGGCCGGAACATCCTGCTGGCTCGGCTGGGGCTGGCAGAGGGCACGAGCCCCTTCATCAAGCTGAGTGATCCCGGCGTGGGCCTCGGCGCCCTCTCCAGGGAGGGTGAGTACCCGAGGGGACCTGGGCACAGTCCGGGGCTTCCCCTGCTCCTTTCACCCTTGGTGACCTCTGACCTTGGCCTCCCAGAGCGAGTGGAGCGGATCCCCTGGATGGCCCCCGAATGCCTCCCAGGTGGGCCCAACAGCCTAAGCATTGCCATGGACAAGTGGGGGTTTGGTGCCACCCTCCTGGAGATCTGCTTTGATGGCGAGGCCCCACTGCAGAGCCGCAGCTCCTCCGAGGTATGTCTAGGAGACCCTTGGGCCCTCCCCACGATGGGAACCTCTCCAAGGAATCCAGAGGACAGAATCAGAGCTCAAAGCTGCCTCCCCTCTGGTCTCGTGACTTCAAGTCTGTCTGGGCCACCAGCAGGGGTCCACTCGTTGGGGCTCAGTGTAGTCCTAGCCTTTTTAGGTCCTTGTGGAAGTCACTTGTGCCTGGTACACACAAGGCAAGTAAGAGACTTGATTTCAGTTTTAGGCAGAGTGACCAGGGCAGTGATGGGAGAGGCCCAGGCTGCGGAGTGGGGAAGAGGGCTGGAGGATGTGCCTCACTCAGCAGCGGGGTCAGACAAGGCTTCCCAGAGGAGGTTTGTGAGTGATGGTTTTTTTTTTTTTTTTTAAGACGAAGTTTCGCCTTGTTGCCCAGGCTGGAATGCAATGGCATGATTTCGGCTCACTGCAACCTTGGCCTTCCAGGTTCAAGTGATTCTGTCTCAGCCTCCCGAGTAGAGGGGATTATAGGCACATGCCACCACGCCTGGCTAATTTTTGTGTTTTTTGTAGAGACAGGGTTTCAGCATATTGGTCAGGCTGGTCTTGAACTCCTGACCTCAGGTGATCTGCCCGCCTTGGCCTCCCAAAGTGCTGGGATTACAGGCATGAGCCATAGTGCCTGGTCCCAGAAAAGGTTTTATCTAAGTGTAGAATGATGCCAACAAGTCCGGCTAAGAAGGGCAGCCTAGGCAGAGTGCATGGCCTGTGCAAAGGCTGAGGCTTCAGTGTATTGAGGAGCTGTGGTCTACAGGAGGGGCGGGAGGGGACCTCCGGGCTGGAGGCTGACTGTGACACTCCAGCTCTGCATAATCACTGGACCTGGGTCCCAGGCTTGGCTCTGCGGCTGTGAGCACGTCCTCCCACTTTGTGGAGCCTCAGTTGCCTCATCTGTATAATGGGACTGATAAGAGTGGGCACCTGGCGGTCCACTGTGGGGGCTTGACTCTGCCTCTTGGGGAAGGGGTGGGGGCGAGGGGAGGATGTTGACTCCTCTGAGTCCCTTCCCCAACAGAAGGAGCATTTCTACCAGAGGCAGCACCGGCTGCCCGAGCCCTCCTGCCCAGAGCTGGCCACACTCACCAGCCAGTGTCTGACCTATGAGCCAACCCAGAGGCCTTCATTCCGCACCATCCTGCGTGACCTCACCCGGCTGCAGCCCCACAGTGAGCTCCATCCCAGTGCTGGGACCCTGGGGAAGTGGGACGGGGCTGGGATCCCTGCTGTATGCCTACAGCGCACGAGAGGTGTCTGTACAGTGGTTCAGGGTGTGTGCCAATTTCTTGCAGTGGCGTTCATAAGCATGCCCTGCCTGGCTGCCCTGAGCTCTCCTTTATTTATTATTAATTTATTTATTTATTTATTTATTTTGCGATGGAATCTTGCTCTGTCACCCAGCCTGGAGCACAGTGATGCGATCTTGGCTCACTGCAACCTCCACCTCCTGGGTTCAAGCAATCCTCCCACCTCAGCCTCCCAAGTAGCTAGGATTACAAGCACGTGCCACTTTGCCCAGCTAATTTTTGTATTTTTAGTACAGGTGGGGTTTTGCCATGTTGGCCAGGCTGGTCTCAAACTCTAGACCTCAAACGATCTATCCGCCTCAGCCTCCCAAATTGCTGGGATTACAGGCATGAGCCACTGTGCCTGGCCTCCTTAATGTTTTGTCTGGGCAGAGACACAACTTCTTTGGATTAGAGATTTAGACCATTGCAGTTTTTTTTTTCTTTTAAAAAAATTTTTGTATTGTTTTCTTAAAAAAATTAATATGTTATTTTATTTCTTTTTTTTTGTTTTGAAACAGAGTCTCACTCTGTTGCCAGGGTGGAGTGCAGTGGTGCAATCTTGGGTCACTGCAACCTCTGCCTCCTGGGTTCAAGTAATTCTCCTGCCTCAGCCTCTCGAGTAGCTGGGACTACAGGCGCCCGCCACCACGCCCGGCTAGTTTTTGTATTTTTAGTAGAGATGAGATTTCACCATATTGGCCAGGATGGTCTCTATCTCTTGACCTCGTGATCCACCCGCCTCGGCCTCCCAAAGTGCTGGGATTACAGGTGTGAGCCACTGTGCCTG